CGCTTCGTGGCCCCATAGGGAGCTCCACGAGCGGTCCCAGTGGGTGTGCCCGCATGCGTCCCGCACACTCATTTCGGCACACCCCTCGCGCGTTTCGTTGCCCCATATGGAGCTCCACCGGAGGTCCCAGCGGGCGTGCCCGCATGCGTCCCGCATGCCCATTTCGGTACACCCCTCGCGCGTTTCGTGGCCCCACAGGGAGCTCCACCGGAGGTCTCAGTGGGTGTGCCCGCATGCGTCCCGCACACGCATTTCGGCACACCCCTCACGCGTTTCGTGGCCCCCCAGGGAGCTCCACCAGAGGTCCCAGTGGGTGTGCCCGCATGCGTCCCGCACACCCATGTCGGCACACCCCTCGCGCGTTTCGTTGCCCCATAGGGAGCTCCACCGGAGGTCCCAGCGGGTGTGCCCGCATGCGTCCCGCACGCCCATTTCGGCACACCCTTCACACGTCTCGTGGCCCCACAGGGAGCTCCACCGAAGGTCCCAGTGGGTGTGCCCGCATGCGTCCCGCACACTCATTTCGGCACACCCCTCACACGCTTCGTGGCCCCATAGGGAGCTCCACCAAAAGGTTCCAGTGGGCGTGCCCGCATGCGTCCCACACGCCCATTTCTGCACACCCCTCACGCGTTTCGTGGACCCACAGGGAGCTCCACCGAAGGTCCCAGCGGGGCCTGCCCGCATGCGTCCCGCACACACATTTCGCCACACCCCTCGCACGCTTCGTGGCCCCATAGGGAGCTCCACCGAAGGTCCCAGTGGGTGTGCCCGCATGCGTCCCGCACACCCATTTCGGCACACCCCTCGCACGTTTCGTGGCCCCATAGGGAGCTCCACCGAAGGTCCCAGTGGGGCGTGCCCGCATGCGTCCCGCACACTCATGTCGGCACACCCCTCACACGCTTCGTGGCCCCATAGGGAGCTCCACCGAAGGTTTCAGTGGGTGTGCCCGCATGCGTCCCGCACACACATTTCGGCACACCCGTCGCACGTTTCGTGGCCCCATAGGGAGCTCCACCGAAGGTCCCTGTGGGGTGTGCCCGCATGCGTCCCGCGCACCCATTTCGGCACACCCCTCACACGTGTCGTGGCCCCATAGGGAGCTCCACCGAAGGTCCCAGTGGGTGTGCCCGCATGCGTCCCGCACACCCATTTCGGCACACCCCTCACACGTTCTGTGGCCCCATAGGGAGCTCCACCGGAGGTCCCAGTCGGCGTGCCCGCATGCGCCCCGCACACTCATTTCGGCACACCCCTCACACGTGTCGTGGCCCCATAGGGAGCTCAACCGAAGGCCCCAGTGGGTGTGCCCGCATGCGTCCCGCACACCCATTTCGGCACACCCTCACACGCTTTGTGGCCCCATAGGGAGCCCCACCGAAGGTCCCAGTGGGGTGTGCCCGCATGCGTCCCGCACACCCATTTCGGCACACCCCTCACACGTTTCGTGGCCCCATAGGGAGCGCCACCGAGGAAGATGTGCACAATTGCGGTGCTCACAATTGCATATGGTTGGGTCCTTCGCCAGGATAATTTTCCCAACCATCCTGTGGTGTTGGGTCCTCGTTTTGAAGAGACGTCGCCCCGCGTTCTCATCTCCTCTCCTCTCCTCTCCTCCTCCCCCTCCTCCCTCCTCCCACCACCCCACGTCCCGCGCGCCCAATTCGGCACACCCTTCACGCGTTTCGTGACACCCCTCACGCGTTTCGTGGCCCCGTAGGGAGCTCCACCAAAGGCAGAAGTGCTGCCGCCCGCATGCGTCACGCACACTCAAATCGGCACACCCCTCACGCGTTTCGTGGCCCCTTAGGGAGCTCCACCGAAGGCCCCAGTGCTGCCGCCCGCGCGCGTCACGCACACTCAATTCGGCACACCCCTCACGCGTTTCGTGGCCCCATAAGGAGCTCCACCGAAGGCCCCAGTGCTGCCGCCCGCACGCGTCCCGCACACTCAAATCGGCACACCCCTCACGCGCTTCGTGGCCCCATAGGGAGCTCCGCCGAAGGCCCCACTGCTGCCGCCCGCATGCGTCCCGCACGCCCATTTCGGCACACCTCTCACGCGTTTCGTGGCCCCATAGGGAGCTCCACCGAAGGCCTCAGTGCTGCCGCCCGCATGCGTCCCGCACAAACATTCGGCACACCCCTCACACGTTTCGTTGCCCCATAGGGAGCTCCACCGGAGGTCCCAGTCGGTGTGCCCGCATGTGTCCCGCACGCCCATTTCGGCACACCTTTTATTTTTTTCGTCACGCGCTTCGTGGCCCCATTGGGAGCTCCACCGAAGGTCCCAGTGGGTGTGCCCGCATGCGTCCCGCACATTTATTTCGGCACACCTCTCACGCGTTCCGTGGCCCCATAGGGAGCTCCACCGAAGGCTTTAGTGCTGCCGCCCGCATGCGCCCCGCACACCCAATTCGGCCCCCCCCCCACGCGCTTCGTGGCCCCATAGAAGCTCCACCGAAGGTCCCAGTGGGTGTGCCCGCATGCGTCCCGCACACCCATTTCGGCATACACCTCACGCGTTTCGTGGCCCCATAGGGAGCTCCACCGAAAACCCAATGGGTGTGCCCGCATGCGTCCCGCACAGCAATTTCGGCACACCCCTCGCGCGTTTCGTGACCCCTCACACGCTTCGTGGCCCCGTAGGGAGCTCCACCGAAGGTCCCAGTGGGGTGTGCCCGCATGCGTCCCGCACACCCATTTCGGCTCACCCCTCACACGTTTCGTGGCCCCATAGGGAGCTCCACCGGAGAACCCAGTGGGTGTGCCCGCACGCGTCCCGCACACCCATTTCGGCACACCCCTCACACGTTTCGTGGCCCCACAGGGAGCTCCACCGAAGGTCCCAGTGGGGTGTGCCCGCATGCGTCCCGCACACCCATTTCGGCACACCCCTCACGGGTTTCGTGGCCCCACAGGGAGCTCCACCGAAGGTCCCAGTGGGGTGTGCCCGCATGCGTCCCGCACGCCCATTGCGGCACACCCCCCACGCGTTTCGTGCTCCACCATAGGGAGCTCCACCGGAGGTCCCAGTGGGTGTGCCGCATCCCGCACACCCAGGCACACCCCTCACACGTTTCGTTGCCCCATAGGGAGCTCCACCCCCAGTGGGTGTGCCGCATGCGTCCCGCACACCCATTTCGGCACACCCCTCACACGTTTCGTGGCCCCATAGGGAGCTCCACCGGAGGTCCCAGTGGGTGTGCCCGCATGCGTCCCGCACACCCATTTCGGCACACCCCTCACACGTTTCGTGGCCCCATAGGGAGCTCCACCGAAGGCCCCATGGCTGCCGTCCGCATGCGTCCCGCACACCCATTTCGGCACACCCCTCACACGTTTCGTGGCCCCACAGGGAGCTCCACCGAAGGCCCCAGTGCTGCCGTCCGCATGCGTCCCGCACACCCATTTCGGCACACCCCTCACACGTTTCGTGGCCCCATAGGGAGCTCCACCGAAGGCCCCATGGGTGCCGCCCGCATGCGTCCCGCACACCCATTTCGGCACACCCCTCACACGTTTCGTGGCCCCACAGGGAGCTCCACCGAAGGTCCCACACGTCGGCTCACACGTGGCCCCATAGGGAGCTCCACCGAAGGTCCCAGTGGGTGTGCCCGCATGCGTCCCGCACACCCATTTCGGCACACCCCTCACACGTTTCGTGGCCCCATAGGGAGCTCCACCGAAGGTCCCAGTGGGTGTGCCCGCATGCGTCCCGCACACCCATTTCGGCACACCCCTCACACGTTTCGTGGCCCCACAGGGAGCGCCACCGAAAGTCCCAGTGGGGTGTGCCCGCATGCGTCCCGCACACCCATGTTGGCACACCCCTTACACGTATCGTGGCCCAAAACGAGCGCCACCGAAGGTCCCAGTGGGTGTGCCCGCATGCGTCCCGCATACCCATTTCGGCACACCCCTCACACGTGGCCCCATAGGGAGCTCCACCGAAGGTCCCAGTGGGGTGTGCCCGCATGCGTCCCGCACACCAATTTCGGCACACCCCTCACACGTTCCGTGGCTCCATAGGGAGCTCCACCGAAGGTCCCAGTGGGTGTGCCCGCATGCGTCCCGCACACCCATTTCGGCACACCCCTCACACGTTTCGTGGCCCCACAGGGAGCTCCACTGAAGGTCCCAGTGGGGTGTGCCCGCATGCGTCCCGCACACCCATTTCGGCACACCCCTCACACGTGTCGTGGCCCCATAGGGAGCTCCACCGAAGGTCCCAGTGGGTGTGCCCGCATGCGTCCCGCACACCCATTTCGGCACACCCCTCACACGTTTTGTGGCCCCATAGGGAGCTCCACCGAAGGTCCCAGTGGGGTGTGCCCGCATGCGTCCCGCACACCCATTTCGGCACACCCCTCACGCGCTTCGTGGCCCCATAGGGAGCGCCACCGAAGAAGATATTCACAATTGCGGTGCTCACAATTGCATATGGTTGGGTCTTTCGCCATGATAATTCAGGTGCTGCTTCTTGCCACAGCGACACAAACACTCCAGGCACGTGGCCATGCTGCAACAGTCAAGGCAATCGCTGTGCTGCCAGATTCCTCGCCCCATCCCTGGGTGAGGGGGCTGTGGAGATCGTGGCGTTGGTGGTGCTTTTGTCGGAGGGAGATGCGGAAGAGGAGGAGAAGGAGACTGGATATGGGAGACTGCGCCTGTGTCATCCCGGGGAGCGGCCTTTCGCGGGGCTAGGCGGTGGCGCTGGGGTGCCGGCATCAGTCGAAAAGTGGAGAGTTAATTTTGAAGGAGGAGGCGCAAAGAGACGAGGAGGATGGGAGGAAGATGCGGATGAGGGGGAAAGGGGGAGGAAGAGGAGGAGAAGGAGTAGGAGGAGGAGAAGGAGGTCGAAGAGTAGGAGGAGCGGCAGCAGAAGGAGTGGACGGCTGCATTCTGGATGAAAGCAGGAGCCAGCACCGTCAGCGTCAGCAGAAGGAGATGCCTAGGCAGCGGGTCCTCTGGGCGCGCGACCGAGGAGTGCCGAGCATGCCAGCCGAGGGCCCCGCGGCCGCTGATGCGGCCGCCGCGGCCGCGAACACGGCCGTCGCCGAGGCGGGCCACGTCGTCGTGAGCCCTGGCGATTGCCCTGGCCGTCGTCGTCACCGTCGCTGTCCTGGTCACCATCGCCGTCGCCGCCGTCGTCGCCCTGGCCGTCGCCGGCCTCGCCGTCGTCGTTGCCGTCGTCGTTGTCGTCGCTTGCGCCGTCGCTGGCAGCGCAGTTGCCGTCTTCGCCCTCGTCGTCCAGCTTCCCCTCCACTGGGCGGGGGCAGAGTGACGCACCAGCGCACGCGCGCACTTGTTCCTCCGCGGACCAGGTAACGTCCGATCTGGTTCGATCCCAGTGACGTCCTTTCTCCAATACCAAAGATGATGATGACGTTGACGCTGGTGATGTTGATGATGCTGATGCTGATGCTGCTGATGCTGATGCTGATGATGATGATGATGATGATGATGATGGCGATGGTGATGGTGATGGTAAAAATGGTGAGGACGATGATGGCGATGATTAAGGTGATGCTGGTGATGCTGATGAGGATGATGGTGGTAATGATGATGATGATGCTGCTGATGATGATGGTGGCGATGGTAATGGTAATGATGATGATGATGCTGATGATGATGATGATGATGATGATGATTCTGATGATGATGATGCTGATGATGATACTGTCGATGAGTATGATGATGCGGATGATCATGATGATGGTGATGATGCTGCTGCTGATGATGATGATGATGGTGATGCTGGTGATGGTGGTGGTGATAGTGATGGTGAGGATGTTGATGATGATGCTGCTGATGCTGTTGGTGATGATGATACAGATGATGATGCTGCTGCTGATGATGCTGCTGCTGCTGCTGATGATGATGATGATGATGATGATGATGATGATGATGATGATGATGATGATGATTATGTTAGGGGTTCTAGTATTGCGAGTGATGATGCTGCTGATTGTATTGGTGATGGTGACGTTGATAGTGATGGTGATGTCGAAGAGGAGGAGGAGGAGGAGGAGGAGGAGGAGGAGGAGGAGGAGGAGGACGAGGACGAGGACAATGGGAAAGGCGGAGGAGGAGCAGGAGGAGCCTCGTTTTGCCGCGCGGCCCCTATGCGCTAGGCGCCAGGGGCGCCCAGGCCCCCAGCCGCAGCCCCAGAGGCGAGCCAAGCTCTGGGCGACCCGAAGAGCAGCAGGGCTGGCTGCGCACACGGGGGTGGCGCGAGGGCCGCGCCCCCGAGGGGGTCCTGCGTGCGCGCCGCCCAGAGCGTCGAGGACGCGCAAACGTGGACAGGCGCGCGTGGATCTCCTCCTCCCTCCTCCCTCCTCCCTCTTCCCTCTTCCCTCCTCCTCCCTCCTCCTCCTCCTCCTCCTCCTCCTCCTCAGCCCTTTTGCGCTTGGGCGCCATCTCGCCTGCAGGAGGCACCCGCGCGTACTGACACTCAGACTTCAGAGCGGCAACGAGTGTCGGAGCCACAAAACTCGGATGGTTGCTACCAAGACCCAGAATGGCGGCGGAGGCAGCAACAAGAAATGGCGTTGTGAACCATGCAAGGTCTACAACGGTGTACGCTACGGATTATGCTGGTGGAAATGCTGGGGTGCTCGACCGACATCGAGACGAACAGCCGACTCCAGCGCGGCCAGGAACACCGACGAGGACCAGCACCACGACGAGCAGCTCGCCAAGGTACAGCACTATCGTGCCAAGCTGGCCGAGCTCCGCAACAAGCTCGCCGAGGACCCGTTCTTGGAGGATGCCCTGCAGCAGCAGGTGGCGCAGCTCGAGGAAGAGCTCGCTGCAGAACGGGCATCATTGGACAACGGAGTGCCGCACTGCTTCGCCGAATGCAGAGTGGTACGAGAGGGCAACAGAGTCGCGGACCAGTGCCAGCATAGGATTGACACGCTGGAGAAGGAGCTGGCAACGACGCAGGATAAGCTCACGGACGAGAGAGCGAAGATGGAGCGGTTTAACACCAAGTTTGGGCGGCCTCAACAAGCGGATCGAAGAGCTGGCGGCCCCACCGCCGGGCAAGGGATGGGCAGCAGCGCTGGCTTTCTTGCAGCACGCGGGATAGTGCCCGGACAGCGGGGGTGAGCAGCAGGAGCAGCTCGCGGCCGTGCTGGACCACGCCAAGGAGCATAAGAAGAAGGAAGAGGAGGCGGCCGCCAAGCACACCGAACACTTTCAAGAATGCCGAGGTGGAGCGGGCTGCCCGTGCAGCACGCGACAGATCCGACAGGGACCGCACAGCGCCGACCCCAAGAACCGCCGCTGCCCCGACTGCGGAGAGGCCAACGAGGACCTCATCGAGCTCGAGGCGGGGGCCAGCGAGCTGGACATCAGCAAGACCCTCGTGGCCGCTGGGGCCATTCCTGAGCAGGCTGGCAAGGTGGTCGGTGCTCTCAAGTTTTTGGCTGGCGAGCTGCAGCCAGGCCACACGGTCGCCATCAGCAAGAAGTGGTGGCTACCCACGCGGGGGTAGCGACGGCGCCAAGCGCCGAGGGCCGAAGGCGAGCCTGGCTGTGCACACGAGGCCAACACAGTGGGCTCGCTGGAGCGCGCTATGATGCAGGTCAGGCGCGACGACACGGACGCCATCAGTCTGACACAGGAGCTGCAGGCCAGTGGCACGCGGCTCGAGCTGTTCCAGACACGCATGCGCAAGCAGGGATGGAACATAGGAGCAATGAGCAGCGCGAAGGCCGAGTCAGGCCACAGCGCTGGAGTTGTTTATTGCAACGGCACGAAGCAGGGGCATGGACTTCGTGCGCAAGGGGATCAACCAGTGTGACATCAGCCTGCGTGGGTCCAAGGGCAGACTCGCGGTCGCATGGGTTGATGCATGCAGCAGGACGACCTCGTCTGCGGGACCGCCTACATGTGGAACAGCGAGGGCCTCGCGCCGCGGAACCAGCGTACCTTAGCGAAGTGGGGCTCCACCATGGACACACTCCAGGAGGAGTGGATACTCGGGGGCGACTTCAACATGGACCCTGCGGCGCTGGAGAACTCAGAGGTTGTCGGCAAGATGAACGGGGCCATCGTGCGCGACACGAACAGCGGCACATGCATGAGGCCAGACGGCGAGCGGAACACGCGGGACTACTTCATCGTTTCGCGAGGCCTGGCGTCGGAAAGGCTCAAGGTACACTTGATGGAAGGCTACAGCACGGCGCCGCACCTTCTAGCGAAGCCGGCGTTGTCCGTGCACCACAATGACGCCAGCAAGATCTACGCGCAGTGCAAGCGCACGCCCTGGCCAATGACGCGGCCGACGGGATGTCCGACGCAGTCAGTGGCCTGGCCAAGGCCGCCAGCGAGCCACGGGGAGTACACGCAGCGCCACATCGACGGGTACTGGAGCGAGCTGGGGAGCGCCTGCGAGAAGCACGTGAACAGATACAGCGGCTTCGAGGGCATGGGCCTCAGCAAGCGACAGGGCTACTTCGAGAGGGCGAACTACGAGTGGCAGCAGCGCCGGCCCAAGCCGTGCGCGGCGGCCGCGGAGCAGCAGCAGTGGGCCGAGGGCGCCGAGTGGCTGGCGCGGCGGCCCAGGCAGCTGCAGGCCCTGGCCCGAGCACGGCGGCGGAAAGGAGATGGGGGCACTTGGAGGCGGGGCCAGTATATCGCAGACGGCCCCCTCCGCCAAGACAACGTTCTCCCGCTGCTCGCGGCGAAGGCGCCTGGGCAGACAGCAGATGGGAGCGACGCTCCAGAAGGTGGCGAGCTGGAAGGAGAAGAGCTGCGGGACACGGACGCCCAGGAGGCTCACATCACATGGGGCACGATCAGCCGGCCGCTCATCGTGCGCGCGCTGAAGGACATGCGCCTCGGCAACATAGACGAGGGCGCCCAGCGCTACCTGGGCTACGTCGCCACCCTGCTGGACCTCGCCAGCAGGCGTTGCCGGAAGACGGCCCACTGCGCGGCAGCAGCGCAGTGGGTGGAGACAGACGGGCGGTAAAGGACGGGGCGCAGGGGGCGGCTGCTCAATGCGAGTGGGCCAAGGCGCTCGCGCCGCGGTAGCCGCAGACGGGCAAGAAGGCCGACGACAGCGAGGGGATCCACGTGCTGGCGAACCGACAGAAGACCGCGGGGGCAGCGCTGCAGGGCTGGGGGATGATCTGGGGCGACCCCCTGGATTGCCGAGCCCCATGGTTGCAGCCGCCCGCCGCCCTTGAGTGGGCGGAGTACAGGCCGCGGCCCATCGCTCCGAAGCAGGAGCTGGAGGCTCGCGGCCGCTTCAGGCGTAAAACGGGACTCGGCGAGTCAGGATGGCACCCGCGCCTGCGGGGCGAGGGCGGAGCCCATGGAGCTGCGAGGATCGCCAGTGTTCTCAACGCGCTGGAGGCGGGCGCGCCGCGGCCGCAGGCGCGGGGCACCACCCTCTCCTACCTGGCGGCGAAGGCAGCAGGCGGCTTCCGCAATCTGGGGCCGCTGCCAGAGCTGGCGAGGCTGCGGGGGGCCACCCGCATGCCGCGCGCCAGGCGCTGGGAGGATGCCCGCCGCAGGCCCTGCGACTGGGCGGCGCGCAGGCGGTCCAGCGAGAGGGCCGCGTAGGAGCAGGCGCTGTTCTGCGAATCCACGGTTGCCGAGGGCATGGAGCATGCGGTCGCGTACTTCGACCTGGTCAAGCGTTTCGAGCGCGTCATGCACGGGGAGGCGTGGCAGGCGGGAGCCCGCTCAGGGTTCAACATAGTCATCCTCAAGATGGCGCTGCGCATCTCCATGGTGCGCCGCGTCGTCAAGGACAGTGCATGCGCGGAGGGCAGACGCTGGGAGCGAGGCTCCGTGGCGGGCAGCCGCCTCGCGCCCCTCTGCCTCAAGAAGGCCATCTTCGGGGGGCTCGACGGCGCGGCCGCAAGCTTCCCACGGGAGGAGTGCGAACATACGCACAGTGCTGGCGTGCGCAGGTCGCGCAGCGGCCCATGACCATGCTCGAGCGGCTGGACACGATGGTTTCCCGAGGCGCGGAGGGGAAGACGGTCGCCATGGCATCGACCACCGCGCTGCAGGACGGCCTCGCCAGGCGCGCGAAACCGCTCGGTGCCAGGATAGCGCGGCGCGCCGATCACTTGGGCGCCGCCACAGCAGCGGGCAGGAGACGACGAGCCAGCGGCTTCAGCAGGAGGGCGGGCAAGTATGCCACGCGGCGAGACCGCATCGCGCGCATGCGACGCGCGGGGGGGCCCGCGCAGGCGATCACCAGGCAGGGCAATGTGCAGTCTGCCATGTACGGGGTGCAGGTCATGGGCATGGCAAGCTCAACGCTGGTGCACCTGGGGCAGAGCGTAGCGACCTCCTTCAGGGGCAACGCCATGGGCAGGTCGACGTCGCTGGTGCTCCTCGCCGAGGACGCCGACCCAGACATCCGCGCCAACACGGAGCCGCTGGTCAAGTGGACCATGGCGCGGCAGGAGGTCGACGGCCAGCCAGACCTGCAGCGCCAGCTCCAGGGCGCCTGGAAGATTAGGGTTGATCGAGTGGGTCGGGCCAAGGCCCCTTGGCTGCAGGTGCGAGGTCCAGCGGGAGTTTCCGTAGCGACAACGGACAGGTTGGGCTGGCAGACGCAGGCAGCCCACGGAATCACCATCGGCGAGGAGGTCCTTGACCTCAGGACGCCCCCGATCAGTGAACCGAAGCAGCGCGTCCGCAGGGCCACAGAGGACAGCCTCAAGCAGGCGTGGCTCGCCAAGCACGTGGAGACGCACGGCGTCACCAACCTGTTCGTCGAGCCCGCGCAGGCGCTGCTCAAGCGACAGTGGACAGGACGCTGGACGCTGGAGCATCAGACAAGAGTGCGCGGCCTCTGAACTCGAGGCACATGGCCGCAGCAGCGGCTCTACGACAAGGGCGCCGCGCAGGGCAACATCTGCAAGGCGTGCCATGACGGAGCAGGCGCGGACCGACACATGACCTTCGCGCGCGCGGCCAGAGCAGAACACCGGCGAGCTGTCGGGGGGCATCACATATGCCGCCGCGGGGCTGCAAGGTGGCCTGGAGCGTCGGAGGCGCAGCGTGCTGCGTCAGCGGCGCCCTGGGGGCGCGGCCTGGCGCCTGACCCCGCGGTGGAGTTCAGGCTGTGGGGCCTGCCCTCCAGGGGCATCAGCGCCGTGGGGGGCGAATTCATCGGGTTCGCGCACGGGGGCGTCTACACCGACGGGAGCCTCCTATACCGCGAGTACCCAGCCCTTCGAGGAAGCTGGGCCTCTTCGTCCAGCTGGACGAGCAGCACGAGATGTAGCGTTCCATGCATACCATGCATGGCCCACTCGAGGGCCCCCAGAGTGACCAGTCCATCTACAAGAGCGAGATGGTGGCGATCGCCAAGGTCCTCGAGCGGGCCTGCCCGCCAGTCAGGATCTTCTCAGACTGCAAGGCCGTGGCCGACGGCTTCGAGAGAGGGCCCGCATGGGCCGCGCGCGCATACGCAGCCCACAAAGAGGTCTGGCTGCGCTGTTGGAGGCTCGTAAAAGAAAACGAAGGGATAGGGCCGCTAGGCATCACGCTGTACAAGGTCAACGCACACGCTACTAGGGCCCAAAGGGCTCAGATGGGGCCCGAGCATTTCATAGGCAATAATATAGCGGACACCCACGCGAAACGTGGGGCTCAGATGAATCAGCACGAGGCCTGGCACAGGGCCACGTATATTCAGAGGTACAGGTTGATTTCGGATATTCTGGAATTTGCCGCGCACGTCGGGGTCCTCGGCCACGGGCTCGAGGACGCCCCCGACGGCACTGGGTCCCGTGGGGCCCTGGGCCGCCCCAGCCCCCCCCCCCCCCAACGCTTAGTGGGGGAGTGGAGGACCCTGCGGGCCCTCCACACCCCACCTGGCCCCGTGGCCCTCCCCTCCGCGCGCTCTGCGGTGCTCGGAGACAGGATCCAGAGGGCCCGTGCCGAAGGCCACCTAATGGCGTGCCTGCCTAAAGTAGCTTTCTGCCGACGGTGCGCCAGGCACGCCAGGGAACAATGGAGAGGTTTGTTTTCCAGTTGCCCTGGGGGTAATCCTAGGGTCCTAGCTGGCCGTTTGAAGCGTCTGTGGCAAGGTAGGCGCCCCACCACGAATCAGATTCTCTGAGGCCCTCGATTGCCCAGGACAGGCCTGGGATGAAAGGCGCCTCCAAGGGTTACGTCGCCGCGCCTTCGGCCGCCTCGACCAACCGACAGCGAGCGAATCCTCAGCGAATCCTCCTCCTCTTCCTGCTCCTCCTCCTCCTCCCGACGGGTCCCGCTTCCATGCAAAATCGACGCGCTCCGTTGCCAAATCGGGCGGCCCTGGCTTCACGTTGCGGGCGGCGCCTTCCTCGATCCGTGGGTCTGGCGCCCCCGCGCCAGATCCACGGATCCATGTGCCCTACGTAGACTGGGGAGGAGTCTCGGACCGGCAGGGGCCCCGCGTGCTGCCTCTGACAAGCGAGGAACTCCCCCGGCCCGCTGAGGTGGCCGCGCCCCTAGCGCCGCCCTCTTCTGCGCGCAGCCACGCCACGAGGCGCAGAAGGCTGAGAACGCACGCTCTGGGAGAGTGCGCCTGGCAGCCTGCGCGAAGCAAGTTGGGAGGTGGCAGGATGTGCTGCTGCCCCTGGCCCTGGTCTCTGGAGGTCCCCGGAGGCTGGCGACGGGGCAAACTCGTGCAAAAGTTGACCTGGTCGACACCCGAGGGCCGAGGGCAAAACTTTGCACCGCCCTCGCGCCAACCCCTCACGGGCAACGTTGGGGGGGGGGGTAGGCGCAGGGGGGGGAGGCATGGACCCCCAATCGCCCACTCAACGCCGATGGGGGCCCCATAGCCAATCCCGCTATCGGTCGCCTCGCTATCGGGCGCCGATCGCCGATGCATCGACGACGTATCGCTGATTCCAGGTCGACGTTTCTGTTGACCTCCCAGATATGGGTCAGGGCAGATGGGATCGGAGGATCGGCTCGCGCCGCATCGCCGATGCATCGAAGATGCGGCTCGATGTGGAGCCCGAGTTTCTTCACGCCGACGTCGCTGGTGATTCGCCGACGTCGCCAGTGCATCACCGAACATTGGCTGTGCATCGGCGATGCGTCGGCGATGCGGCGCGATCCTCCGACCCCATTTACTCCGACCCCATCCAGGAGGCCTCTACAGGCTGGCAGAGGTTTTCTCTTAACGCCGCCACAAATGTCGGTGGCCGAACACACTGCGCTTCGGATGTCCGCACCATTTTCGCCTGTTATGTTGTAGCACAATGCTGCAGAATGTGGATCAGTATGTGTGTTCACTGCACACCGTATTTTTCCACGTGTTTGCAACAGCGGAACTGACTAAACGAGACTGACTCGGGCCCGTCCTCTGCAGGGAGCAACTCGTTGAATGACCGCTGATAAGGGAGTGAGGCAGGATGGCACGATAGTGACCGACGAGGAGAAGGAGGAGTAGGAGTAGGAGGAGGAGGAGGTGGAGGAGGAGAAGACTGGGGGAGGAACGCGAGGAGGAGGGGCGGAGGCGGAGGGGGAGGAGGACAATGAGCACGTGTAAGATGTAGTCGGGCCATGCCCGCGCCCGAGACCGGGCAACTTGCGGAGTTTTCCTTTGATATGCGTGCGTTATGCCAGTTCGAACCAGAGACGTGGCAACGACCCCGCTGGCGACGCGTGACCCAAGGCGTGCCGAAGTTACCCCAAACCATGCCAGGCGAAAAAAAAACATGCCAGGCGAAACCGCGCCCAAACCATGGCCAAACACGGCAAATCGCGAGGACGTCTTTGGCGAAACCGCGCCCACACGAGGGCACACCAAGCAAATTTGAAAAACGCCTCAAGCGAAAACGCGCCGAAACCACAAGCAAAATCCAAGGACATCTCAGGCGAGACTGGGCCGAAACCAGGCGAAACCAAAGCGAAACCAGGCAAAGTGCGAGGACGTCTTGGGCGAAAGCGCGCCCACACCAGGCGAAAAACCTAGCAAGTTTCGAAGACGTCTCAGGTGAAACTGGGCCGAATCCATGCGCAACCAGGGGCGAAGCCAAGCGAATTGTTAGGCTGTGTCAAGCGGCTTGCGCCGCCAAGCCGAGCCAAACCAGGCAAAACCAGGGGCGAAACCAGGCAAATTGTGAGGACGTCCCGGGCAGAATCGCCGAAACCAGGCTCCATCCACTCTCCTTCATCGAATCCGGATTCAAGGATTGCATGACCCCAGGGTCTCCCCCCCCCCACAGGTGCAAAGCGCACACCCGTTTAGAATGTTAATGGGAGGGCGTTTGGACCACGTGTCCGCTGAGAGCGGGCGGGGTTGGGCGCGGAAGGTTTCATTTATTTGTCGATTGTTGTTTGGGCCTTGCTGCGGCGTTCCGGGAAATGCTTCCGAGCTTGTAGGTTTCAGATGATGAGGTCGTTTTTCCCTGCTGCGTCCCCGACGACTGAGTGTGCGTGGCAATGCGCAGTCAGATGGCCCTCGAGGTCTTTGCCAACTTCCAATGTAGCCTCGCTTGCTGAGCGCGTTGGCTCTAAACGACTGCAGGCACGAATAGGAACAAGCCGGCGTTACGACCCTCGCCTCCATGGAAAGGGAGGAGGTCGACGTTTTCTCCCTCACCCGTGGTCATCGTCGATCATATCATCAGCATCATCAGCATCAGCCTCACCACCACCACGATCCCTGTCATCACCTTCACCATCGGCAACAGCAACAACAACATTATCATCACCGCCATCATCCTCATCCTCTTCCTCATCATCATCACCACCATCATCATCATCATCATCATCATCATCACCGTCACAATCATCATCACTATCATCAGAATCATCAGAATCATCATCATCATCATCATCATCATCATCATCATCATCTTCCCCGTCAACATCATCATCGTCAGCATCGTCATCGTCATCGTCATCATCACCATCATCATCATCGTCATCATCATCACCACCATCATCATCACCACCCCCACCATTACTATCATCATCACCCTCACCAGCACCATCATCATCAACTTCATCATCATCATCACCAACATCATCCCTCTCCTCCTCCTCCTCCTCCTCCTCCTCCTCCTCCTCCTCCTCCTCCTGGTCATCATCATGATTATCATCATCCTCAGCATCATCAAGATTCTCACCATTGTTCTCGTCATCATCTGCATCATTATCATCAGCATCAGCATCATCATCATCATCATCATCAGCATCATCATCATCATCTTCATCATCACGAGCCGTCCCGGGTTCCCGCCAGGTGGTCGCGGCTGCCATGGCCGCCGCGGCAGCGGCCTCGCCGTTGCCGGCCCTCGAGATGCGGCCCGAGGACGGACCGGGTCCCGATTTGGCCTCGAAATTTCTTTCGTTTCTCGAGGAGGGGAGGAGGAGGGGAAGGAGGAGGCGGAGGAGGATTGTGGTATGGCGTTGATGCCTGTAGTGTAGCGCTGATACCTTCAAGGGTAGACCTGTATTGGGGCACTTGGGCTCAACAACCCTTGTAAGGCGATGCCGGTGAAGGTTGGGAAGTCCAACCTTTTATGGAGTGGTGGGAGGGAGAGCGGGGTGGAGGGAAACGAGGAGGAGGAGGCGGGGGGAGTGGCACGAAGGAGGAGGCGGCGGCGGAGGAGTGAGGACAGAGCAGCAGGACTGGGGGACAGTTTTCGAGCGGATTTGCCCTTGTCCCCACCCTGCTTGACAGATTTTCTCGGGCCCATTCAGTTCAGAACCCACGGCCGCATCCAAGAGGAGTGGCACGAAGGAGGAGTCGGAGAAGGAGTGAGGACGGAGGAGGAGGAGGAGGAGAAGGAGGAGAAGGAGGATGAGGAGCAGGAGCAGGAGCAGGAGCAGGAGCAGAAGGAGTTGTTGCTGCTGTGGCAGAAGAATAGAAGGTGAGGTGGCTGCTTCTGATGATGATAATGAGGACGAGGATGAGTATGAGTATGCGGATGAGGATGAGGATGATGATGCTGATGCTGATGCTGATGATGATGCTGATGATGCTGCTGCTGATGATGATGACGATGATGATGATGAGGATGAGGATGATGATGGGGCTGATGATGATGATGATGATGCTGCTGATGATGATGGTGATGCTGATGATGATGAGGATGAGGATGAGGATGAGGATGAGGATGATGATGATGAGGAGGATGAGGATGAGGATGAGGACCTCGAATGGTGATGACGATGAGGAGGAGGAGGAGGACGAGGAGGAGGGGGAGAGTTCGAGGAGTGACGAGTGAAGTTTGAGGATTGGTCAGGGGTGAGGACTGATGTGCGCCAGGGAGCATCTATCTCCCTTTTTGACCCTTGCGGACGTCACTCGGAGTCTGAACGCTGGCCGGTATTTCAGAAACCTAACCTGCAGCGGTAGCTTTCACTTGTGGTTGCCTCCTCGCTGTTTTACCAGGCTGCTCAGCACTCTTGTGCTGCTCGATTGGCCGTCTTATGTTTTATGCGACTAGGTACGACGTTGCCGACGAATGCACCATTTTGTAGGATGCGTGCGCACGTTGGGACTCCCTGAATTTCCGACAGCCCTCAAAAGCAATGGTGCATTTCGAAATTTGACTCGCAACTGTGTATCGTGGATCCAGCACCTTACCGGAAGCTTCCCCCCACGGTCTGACGTCTTTCCCAGTCTGGCACACCGTTCCACGCCATATGCAACAAGAAGATATTCCGGATGCAGAGGCATGGGTTGCGGCCCTTATGGTCAGGAACGTTTGCTTCAAGTGACGCGCCGCTGGTTTTGGTCCTCCACGCTCCGGCGCGATACGCTACTCACGTCCTCATTTCCAAGCGTCCACGCCCCAAGCTCTTCCCAGCCTCCCTCCGCGGAGCGGAGCCTTACGCTGTCCGCTTGCAGGGCACAGCGTGTCGCCGGATCCGCCGCCGCGACGCGCCAACCCATCGTTCCCGACGGTACCCATCGGTCGTTGAAAGTAGATATCTTTGGATTCCCAGATTCCAATTTATTTTAGGCGCCTCCCTTCCTCCATGATCGAGTGGCTTCACCTTTTCCGTTCTCCTTTGGGGGCGGGCGGACACGCAATCTATTTTCAACGCTTTCCTACTCCATGTTTCTACCTACTTCTTCCGACCGATGGGTAAGAGCGTGTTTCTTTATTGCTTGGGGCATAATGGGCATTATAGCCCCCGGCCCCCCTTCCCCCCCTTCCCCCTATTTCGTAACGCCCCCCCCCCAGGGCGCTCTGGGTACTGACGCCGTGCGCATCGGGCACACGGCGGGGGGAGGCGTTACATTATACCCCCCCCCTGGCCCGCTTCTCCCCCCTATAATGCCCATGATCGCCGAAAATACAGCAACGCGCTGTAAGTAACCCCACGTTCCCCTGCCCCGACCTCGGAGGTGGACCAAACGAGCCGCCGAGTCCGAGAGAGGGAACCGCCCTCCGCGCCTCCTCGGCGGCGCGGCCCAGCGGGGGCTCCCCTCCGCCGTCAAGCGTCAAGCTCTCGTGTGAGGCCACCGGCCACCGCCCTGACACGCTCGCGCCGTGGAAGAGTCACGGCGCGAGGTGTTTTGCCGTTCCCAGACCCCCTCGGGCAACGAACAAATCATGACGGGATGTTTTCTTGCTATTTTCGCCCTCACATCTCGACTCAGGATCAAAATCCGGTCCAGGGGAATGGGTCGAGACCTTCAGGGGTCGACGTAATGGAAAAAATCATGACGTCGGGGGTCTGGGGTCGTGGACGAGTCCGGGCGCGAGGTTTTGTGCCGTTTGCGGCACCCAAGGGCCCTCGCCGGGCCCCCAGGGCCAGAGAGCGACTCGGGATGACAAATTCATGGAGAGAAAGGCTGGGACACGTGGGGGCCTCGCATGGAGAGAATCGAGAGCTCGGATATCTACGTGCGCTCCTCTCTCCCTGCAGTCCTCTCGCTTTTCCACTTGATCCCTCGACGGTTGCACTTCTCATCTGTTGCTGCCGATTCCACTTTGCTGAGGCTTCGCGTAGACGCGGTCATTTTCTTACACGCCGTCGGCGCGCTCGCCTGCGGCTGGCTACAAAACAGTAGACGCGGTTATTTCCGCGTCATTGCTGCCGCCTCCGTTTCTCGTGCGTCGGTTGTGCGCGTGGTATGCCACGTTCATATCATGCTCATGTGGGACCGGAGGAGACCAGACAGATCCACGTTGCTCTGCCCCCCTTGATCATGCCCTCCTTAGGAGGGCATGATCACGGGTGGGGGTGGAGGAGGAAAGAACCGTAGAATTGTCCGGCTCCTGTCAGGGATAGCTGGTCTGGTTTGCCACAGGCAGGCGGGCACAGCGCGAGTACAGCACCGATCACTCGAGGAGGAGGAGGTGGAGGAGGAGGAGCTTTCGCTCCGCCTCTCCCTGGTCTTGGTCTTGGGCGACACTGCGTCCCTTGGTGGTGCCCCTCCTTTTGGCACTCCGCACGGTGAGATGCATTGTGTCGGGGGTCCCCTTTGATCTCCCCGACTTCTCGGCAGAGGTGGTATCGAGTGAGCCTGTCGAGTCGGGGGCGATCTTCGTCTTGCGATGATTTCGTGCCAGAGCCTGACATTATCAGAGGGAGGGGGCCGAACGGTCATTCACTGGCCCTGGGCGCGTGGCTGAAGTGGAATTCCGCGAAGCGGATAGTTGTTTCGTTTTTGCGTTGGTGCGTTGTTATTGTTGCTGCTGGTGTCGTCGTCCTCGCCCACGACCTGCCCGCGACCCACCCGGAGTCCACCCCGCGACCCACCCCGCGACCCACCCGCGACCCACCCGCGGCCCAGCCCGCGACCCACCCCGCGCCCGCCACCGCACACTCATCCGCAATTGCCGGGTGCCGCATCGCTCGCTATCATCGCCATCGCTCATCGCTGTCCCTCCTCTTTCTTGCTCCTCTCGTCCTCCTTCTCCTCCCGATCCCTTGCCTTCGCCCTTGCACAATCTGGCAATGGGGCGCACCGTCCTCTTAGTGAAGGGGTGGGGCCCCTCCTCCACCTTGTGCTCCTCCATCCTGCTTCCTCCCTGCTCCCCCCCTCCCTCGCCTTTCTCCCCCTCCCTCATCCCTCCCTCCCCCTCCCTCCCTCGCCCCTCCTCTCTCCGCCTGTCCTCTCCCTCTTCGCCTTCCTTATCCAACCCCTCCCCATTCCCCCCCTCGAGGAGTAGCAGGTCGGCAAGTGAAAACATGCATCCCTGTGTATTCCGTGGGGTTCTCAAGGAACGCGCAAAGTGCGGGAGGGTGCTCACTTTTGCGTCAGCTGCCTCGGCGGGACCAGAGCTCTGGCAGCACGAAGCGCCAGAAGTGCAGCAGGGCGGGCAGATCGTGCGCGGGAGTGGAGCTCTGAAAGCGCGGAGAGCACGAACCCTGACCTTCCAGAGTGCTAAGACATAGCACTCCAGACCTATAGACCTAGCTGGACTGGCTCAAACCTCGACAGGAATTAGAACGTCGATGCCCTGGTGCTATTTTTGTTGCCCTCCTGGAAGGTCAGGGGAGAACAGGGATCGTGCCCGGCCAGACCACATATCACGCCGCCACTGAAGCGAGAGAGAGCACAGTGCATGCCAGAACTTGTGGCTTGTGGGCAAGTCTCTGGCGAAACGCCCACCGGCCCGCCTCCAGGCCAGGCAGTCTCGGCCTCCCCGCCACCCTTGTGGGACTCGTCGGTTTTTCCCCAATCAGCGATTGCACTGCAGGGGTCCGAGCGGAAGTTGGAAGACTTGGCGAAAGGGTCCCGCCGATGTTGGTGGCCGGCTGGGTTCCCGAGTTCCCTGTTCCGGGTTCCCGGGTTCTTGGTTATTGGTTCTGGGCCGATTTCGGTGGGTTCCCGGGTTCCCGGGTTCCGGGTTCCTGGTCGATCTCTTTATCGAAAGCCATCCACTGATTGGGTTTTTTCTCTGGTCTAATTTGATCCTGGCGCCCACCGGGGCCCTCTAGCGAAACGCTACTTGGCAACACCGCGGCAGGGCAAGGCCGGAGCCCTAGATCCCATCTCTGTGTGGCATGTTTCGAGCCGGGTCGACTCGTGGTGGCTCCCGGTGCCCGAAGCCAGGAGAAGACGCCCGGTGCGATGAAAACGACGCCTGGATCTCAGCCCCCATCCTCTCCCCCATCCTCTGGCCCCTCACCTTGGAGGACGAGTCCGTGCCGTCCTGGGCTGAGTTCTACCACCAGCTGGCCAGCGAGCTCTCGACGTCCCGAGGCGGGCCCCGCCAAAGCCCTGTCGGGGGCCCCGAGATCTCCTCTCAGGACTGGCTGCGGAGGGCAGCGGCACATGGAAGCTCTCGGCCCGCTGCGGAGGCAGTGGGCGTGGAGGAAGAGGAGGAAGAGGGGAGAAGCAGCGGGATAAGATGGGTGACGAGGAAGAAGACGAGGAGGAGAAGGAGGAGGAGGCGGAGGAGGAGTGTGAGGTGTGGTGGAGGAGGGGGGGGGTGATGTGAACGAGAGGGAGGCGCAGGCGCAGGCGCTGACGAGGAGGCGCTGGAGAGGGCGGAGACGACGGAGGAAGTGGCCGAGGAAGGTCATCGCAGATCCAAGACATTGGCGCGGACATCCGAAAGCTCATGTTTGCGCGTCTCTCGACGCTCATGCTCCAGCTCTCTCGGCTCCCCGCGGTCAGCACTGGGGCGACGCAAATTCCAGTTGTAGCACGTCTACGGTCGATTCGCTTCGTGTCGACCAGCGGCGACCCCGCCGTCGCCGCTCAACGTTGAGCGCCACCGGCACCCCAGAATCGGTCGATGTTGAACGATTGCGTGTTTCGGAAACGGCCGATCCGTCAACGTTGAACGATCCCCGTGGTGTCAGAGACCAGCGCCGAAGTCGGCACGACAAGAACCTGCCGTAGTTGGAGCCAGGGAGTCTCCACCTGATGGGCCTCCAGTTGGACTTCGCGTTCAGGGCCAACGAGCGGGGGGATAGACAAAAGAGGGGGGGGGATACATCGACTCCCAATCGCCGATTGATCGCAGATCTGGGTTTGATAGACCCGCCCCGCGTAGGAACGTTCGGATTCGCTATCGGGGGCCTATCGCCGATCTATCGGCAATGCATCGCCGATTTCAGGTCTATGCCCCCCCCTCTTCCAGATCCCCGTATCGTTGCCCCTCAAGCCTGCTCCAGGGCGACGCCGAGTCCAGACGGTGCAAGTCCAGTTGTGGCCAAGGCGCTCTGTCTGCTGTGACGCCACTCGTCCGCGCGCATGCCACGGGTGCTCATCTCCCAGCGGCCACCAGGGACCATGGCAGGGGGCTGTAGGCTCAGGGTGCAATGCCTCCACCCCCAGTCGCCCACTCGTCGCCGACGGGGGCCCAATATGGCTCACTCCACCTGGGCACGTGCGGACACGCTATGGGGGGCTATTCGCCGATCTGTCGGCGATGTGTCTCCGATTCTAGCCCGGTGCCCCTCCCACCTCCTCTTCCTCCTCCTCTTCCTCCTCCTTCTCCTCCTCCTCCTCCTCTCCGTAGCCATTTTGGCTCAAGACTGATGCTTTGGCGGGCTGAGCCCGCATTGGCAAGACTGGACACCGCTGTTACCGCGGCAGTGCCAGAGCGTTTACGCTCGACAGCTCTCAGCCAGTACCGCACGGGCTTCCTGGCGGCCCCTCTCGTTCACTCACGGCGCAGACATGGCGCCGTCCCCGTGGTCTCCGGAGGCCAAGTCGGATTGGATGTGCAAGTTCTGCACTTTTCGGCGCACTGGTCTCCCTCTCATCAATTACGGCAGCAATGAGAAGTGCTTCAAGTGTAAGGTACACAAGGGGCAAAGTTTCAAGTGTGTGGTTCCCGCCGACTCCCCGAGCCGCAGCACCAAGCGCAAGCCCCCTCCCACTGCGGGAGAATCCTCTGCCTGGGCCAAGCTTGAGAAGCGTCTACAGTCTCTGGAGGCCGAGAATCAGCGTTTGCGGGCGCCACAGGATGGTGGACAGCAGTCGCAAGCGCAAGCATCAGACCTCATGTCAGAAGAGCTACGTGATGAGATCGACGGCCTGGTCAAGCATGTGCAGTGGTTGGAGTCAGTCAAGTTACCATGGGCCGCTCAGCCGTTACAGACGGCTCGTGACCAGCTTGAGGCAGCTCGTCGCAAGCTATATGAGAATAAGCCCCTTCCAGCGAAGCTTACTGCGCTTTCGAGGCGAGCTGAGCAGGCCCGTCAGCGTCTTCAGAAGGCAGAGGCGAACAAGCTGGAGGCAGACAAGGCGTTGGCAGCTGCTCAGAGCCAAGTGGATTCAGCAATCCAGGCGCTGGAGGAGCGCAAGAAGGCTGTTGAGGACCTCGACGAAGAGTTGCGCCAGCTTTCGTCGCAGCCTGTCCTGGCTCCGATGGCGGTGGATCTCACGGGGCCAGAGTTATACCTCAGCGAGTCCAAGTTGGTTGAGTGCTTGGGCTCGATGGACGGCGTCGCCGACGCCGCCAAGCTGGCACCCATGCTGGTGGAGGTGCTCAAGGCGAGGTCAGCTGAGCTCTTCTCGCAGCCGCCCGAGAAGAAGCAGAAGACGCAGGAGGCAGGTGTGGCGCCGCCCACTCCAGGCCGTGCTGAGCCAGACAAGCCTGCTGAATGGAACCATCAAGACATGGACGTGGAGGCTCTGCGCAAGGACGTGGCCGACTTCGTGGAGGAGAGTGCAGAGGAGGCCATCCTGCGCGAGAAGGCGAAGCAGCTGGCAGCAGGCGGCTTCCGACCCCCACGCCTACGCAATCCTAACTATTGATTGCCCCCGCATGCTGGACGACGGCATGGTCATCGGGGGCGAGCTCAATTTCGGCAATTTCGTTTCGAGGTGCTCGTCAGCGACAGTGCGAGGGCCTAATGCTGGAGGCTCCAGCTCCGCCAAACCCCATGGCCCTGGTGTTCTGGGTGCCGCTCGGGGTGGGCTCCCCAGCTGGGGCCTTTTTCCCTCTTCGCCTCGGCCCGTCAAGGGTCGACAAAACAGGGTGCCAGGATCACAGCCTCTGCAATGCCGCTCGGCTCACGCCTGCAAATATGGTGGTGCAACCTTTCCAGACTATGCGGAGCTCAAGTTGTGTGAGTATCGCCAGCAGGACATCGAGACTGAGAGCACAGTTGCCCCATCTTCCACTGGAGTGTTAGGGGACTCGTCTTCGTCCCCGTGGTCGCAACCTTCTTCGAGTTCGGCTCAGGATGCGGCTCAGGCACTTCGTTGGGCAGCTGATTTTGAGGCCCCCTCGTCGAACCAGCACCAGACGGAGTTCACGCTCGTTACTTACAATGGCAACACGTGGACCACTGTTCAGGCTTTCCTGGAATGGCTGGTGTTGGACAAGCATTTGCAACCAGACGTACTCCACGTGCAAGAGCATCGCCTCAGAGGAGGCGACCAATTAAAGAGTGCTCAATCTTGGTCGCATGCTCGTGGGTATCGCTTTCTCGCCAATGGCTGCCAGATCACGGGAAGCACGGCGACGTCGACCTCGAGCGGCGTGGGTGTGCTGAGCCTCAACAGTCTGCCGAGCGTCCCCTATGTGCCTCATGGGGAGTACGCCAAGTCTCGCATGTTTTTTCAAAGAACGGTGATTGGCAGCATGCAGATCCTCCTTGCCTCTGTGTATGGCATCACCAGTGTTGGCCAGGCTGGGAACTTGGAGCTCTTCGCCTCTCTGATCCAAGTTCTGCGTGAGTCTTGCCTACCCTTTATCGTGGCTGGAGACTGGAATGTGGAGTCAGAGTGTTTCGGGCGGGACACGTTTCTCAGAGCTGGATTTCTTGGTCACCTCCATGCGGAGATTGTTCATGGCGGCCGCCCTACTTGCAATGAGTCGCACTACGACTACTACATCGTCAGCGACATCCTGCTGCCCTTCATCAGGAGCGTGGGTGTGATTGACGACACCCCTGTGGGCCCACACAGGGCCGTGGTGCTGAGGCTCGCTGGTCTCGGCGGGTCGAACTTTGTGTATCGTAGAGTGCAGCAAGAAAAGTTTTTGATGCCAGCTTCGGGGCAGCCACTTGTGCCTGGTGATGTCTCGTCCTGGCCAGGTTTCGAGTTGGAAGAAAACGAGTCTCTGGACAGCCTCGCTCGCAGGTGGTTTTCTTCGGCTGAGCTCTATTTAAGCCTCTTTTTGGCTATTCCCATCGCCGAGAGGCCTAGGTTTTGTGGCCGCTCAGCTGGATGCAAGCTCGAAAAAGTCCCGATTGCCTGCGAATGGGGGAAGAGCCTCCGTAGGAAAGCCAGCCCATCCACCCAGAAGTGGCTCTCTGTCAGGCGTCTCACCATGCAATGGCTGCGAGCTGAGGGTAAGACTTCTGAACCCCAGGTTGCTCAGCAGGCCAGTGCCCTCAGGATGCTATCTGGATACTCTGAGGTGTGGGACGGGTTGGACTGGGCGGGGGAGGATGGTGTCACTGTCAATTCGCTTGGAGACTTTTTGCAAGGCTTGAGGGATCCCGACAAGAGGGCCCAGGTCTGTAAGTGTCTCCAAGACCAGGTGCTGTCGCACACCGCCGCCGATGCTGTTGCCGCCAAGCAGAGCTGGAAGGAATACTCCGAGCTGGCTTTCTCCAACGGGGCCAGTTTGGCCCACCGTTTTTCGAAGGGCCCTAAAGGGGCCACGGCCGCGGACATTGCCCAGGGGCTTCCTGTTGTCGGTCATGAAGCTCTGCAGGAAATGTTAAAGGAGTGGTCTAGCCTTTGGGTCGTCTCTGCCAGGTCTGTTGAGCCCCACCCTCTGGATTGGGATGTTTCCCAGGCCGCGCCGCTGCCTCAGTTTTCGGATGATGAGGTGAAGGCGGTGCTCAGCTCTTTTAAGAGCAAGACGGCGCTCGGCTGGGACTGCTTCCATCCGAGGTGGGTTGAAAAACTTCCGTCGGTCCTCGTCTCGACGCTCACCCTCCTCCTCTTGTCTTGGGAACGTAACCCTGAGCTCACAGACGTCTGGCTGACCCTTATTGTCTTTCTACCAAAGGTCACTGGAGGGGTGAGGCCAATCGGCCTGCTCCCTTTCTTCGCGCGTCTGTGGTCGAGGCTCCGCCACCGTGTTGTTGCCAAGTGGGAAGCTACCCTACCAGATACCTTTTTCTGGGGTGGCTCCTCGGAGACCTCGTGTGACAAGTCGGCCTGGATCCATAATGTCCTAGCCAGCGCAGCTCCAGATTTTAACTTCGTAACGGCGAGTGCATTTATCGACCTCCGTAAATTTTATGAGATGGTGTCCCATGCTGAGCTGCTCTGTGCGGCTCGGG